CCCAGTGACCAGATCTGCTTGGCTTATTTTGTTTGCTTTTTATTTGCAAGGCCATATTCCTATACTAACTTTCCAGATGAGGTGCCTGTCCTGAATCTAACCAGCTGAAAAAGAAGATTAGGATGGGAGAGCAGGAGGCAGAAAATAGAACTAGCTATGTTACAGGTACTCTGGCATTTCCTCTAAGAGGCATATTTGGAAATATTGCCTAGCTAGCTCAAGTGCAATAAACTGCTTCTGAAAAATTCTTTTAGGTTTATATATATATATTACTTTTCTTATGAAAATAATGGAATGTTGATATTTAATTCTAATTTTTTTTTTCCTGGTACTGGGAATCAAACTCACAACCTTGCACTTGTCAGGCAAGCGCTGTGCCGCTGAGCTAAATCCCCAGCCCCCTTTTTTCTTTTCATGACGTTTATATTCTTAAAATATAAAGCTTTGTTTACAAAGGTTAATGAACCAGGAATGGTGGCACACACCTATAATCCCAGCACTCGGCAGACTGCGGCAGACTGCGACAGAAGGATTGGTGTGAGTTCAAGACCAGCCTGGATACAAAGTGAGCCTGAACTGCATAGCTAGACCCTGCCTCAAAAAGACCAAAAAAAAAAAAAAAAAACGGTTAATGACATTTTTCTTCAGTAGTGTTGTATGATTTATAATTTCACTTTTGCAATTAATTTTGCCAATAATGCTTTCGGTCATCTCTCCATTTTTCAGCTGTACACAAAATTATCTTTGATAAGCCTTCACTCATAAAGAAGAAAAAGTCAAAGTTCTGGGCCAGACAAAAGAAAACCTTTCCTGTTTTTGTTCCATTTCTGAAAGAAAAGTTTCAAACGAAATCCCCAAATTATGTCTTCCTCTGCATTCCTATGATTACAGGCATGACTGTATCTTTTACCCTAACTATAGCAATCCACGGTTTAATTATTATGGTAGAGGCACTCATTCTTGCCCCCTTGAGGATCTCACTGCCACCACCACGATCTTTTCACCGCATAACGTTCCATCATGTTACATCTCAGCTTGAAATGTTTCAGAATGGCTTTTTAGGATAATCGCCGAAGTCTTGAATGATTAGTTCCCAGACTCCTTTTCTACCTTACTGAGCTCTGGCTACACAGCCTTCTAAAAACTACGCATACGTTTAAAGCTGTTTGCAAATAACCCAGTGAACCTCCCATAGACCAGTTTCAGTAATGGAAGTGCCACATTGCATCTTTTTTTTTTTTTTTTTTAAAGTCCATTTATTTACTTTCATCTTCTTTTATCTAGTATGGGTTAATCTGACTTCTGAGTAAAATTGTGAACTCAAAAGCCCAGTCTTCTGGGTAAATCTTTTGTTTGTTTGTTTTTTTCTGGTACCGGGAACCGAACTCACGACCTTGCACTTGCCAGGCAGGCGCTGTGCCGCTGAGCTAAATCCCCAGCCTCTTCTGGGTAAATCTTTTGGAACTGTTTTATTAAATGTGGAACAGTAACAGTACATAGCTCACAAGATCAAGAAGTCTATTCATCTAAGACGTTTGGATCATTGTCAAGCATTTAGTATATGCCTAATAAATGAGGCTATTATTACTTAGGACAAATCATACATCTTCCTACCTCAAGGTCTTTGTACACTCTCTCTTCCCCTCAAGACTGTGGTCTACTAGTAGTTCAAATATCATGTCTTCTGGAAGTTTCTAACTTTCAGATGAAATCTGTTATGTTAATATATTCTATGCTTTTCCTGAATGGCACTTAAAATTATCCATTTGTGAGACTGATTAACAAGTATCTTTATCATCATACTAGAAGGAAGCACGGAAGAGAGGAGAAATGGTATGTTTGGCTTCCTTTTTACCCCCAACACCTCGTATGTAGCAGGCATTGACAACTTTCATTCTTTCAACTAGCCGTACCCGTGATTCAGCTCAGGGCCTCTGCCCTGAGCTGTGCCCCCATTTTTAAACAGATTCTTACTGAGTTGCCCAGACTGAACTCAAACTTACCATCTTCCTACCTCAGCCTCCCAGAATGCTGAACATTTATTCAATATTTAAGTTCATCTAATTTTTGGTCAGATCCTCTGCTGTTACTATGTATAAAGGTGTAACAAATTTCACAATAGGTTTGAACTTTTTGACAAGTATATTAATATTTATAAAGAATACCTTTTTTGGCTTTTGAGATGGGAGTTTCATTAAATAGCCTTAAACTCCCACCAGCTTTTTCCATCTGAACCTCCTGCAATAGATTGTACCTAAAGCATTTTAGAAAAGAAATCTGTGCCAAAAAATACTCTTTGTTGTGGCGGACACCTGTAATCCTAGCACTCAGGAGGCTGAATCAGGAGGATCGCTGAGCCAGCCTGGTCTGCATAGAGAGCTCAAGGCCAGCTTGAACTACACAGTAAGACTCTGTCTCAAAAAACAAAAATGGAAGAGCATCCAAATGACCTTTGAACTCTCCTTCCTATCTGGACTGTTTCTACTTGTGAGTTCAGAGCAATACTGGCGAACCTGTGGTACATGGGCAGCAGCAGGCTGTTTGCATCACTGAAAGCTCTAAAAGGGTTTGACAGGTACAAAAGACTAGGCATCACAGCAAGGCATGGTGACATAAGCTGTAACACTCCCACTCGGGAGGGTTGAAGCAGGAGACTCAGAAGTTTGAGCCCAGCCTGGGCAATTTAACCATTTAGCAAGACTGTCTAAAAAACAGAAAGAAAAGGAAAAAACAAACAAACAAACAAAAAAGGGCTGGAGATGCAGCTCAATGGGTAGACCCTGAGTTCAATCCCTCGCACTGAAGAGGAAAAAAAAAGTTACCATTACAATTTATTTTTCCCCTAGAATTCATTTGTATTAAGTAATTTGTAAATATTTCATTAGAATTGTTAGTTTCATCACAAGGGTTAAAAAAAAAATGCTTCTCCTAAACTATTTTACCAAAATGTTTTCAGATTTCTGATCAGTCACCTTTTAATGTTTAAAAAAAAACCAAAAACTTTCAAAATAGTTTATGCCTTCTGAACAATTGTACTGAAACAGTTTAAAAGAAAATTTAGCCAATAGATGAGGCTAAATTCTACTGCATGCATGGTCTATAATTTCTTGATAATTTTGAATATTAGCCTATTAAAGGCTCTGAGATATCCTATAAGAAACATATGTAGCTTGATTTAAACTTTTTCCATACTTACTCAATCTTAGATTCTATTATGTCACAACTAATTATCAAACACACTTTGACAATTGCTAGTCTACCCTACACATCAACTAGTTCAGAATACTATTAAAAATACACCACCACCTTGCTTTTTAGTGGTCTCAAAGCTCCTGCTAACTCCAGCTTACGGATTCACAAACTATACATGTCATAATTCACCCAAGAATCTTAGCAAGAATGACTCATATTTTCTTTCCTCCTTTCTTGTCAGACAGGGTCTCACTATGTAGTGCAGCCTGGCCTTAAACTCACATATGAAGCCCAGACTGGCCTTGAACTCAGTGATCCTTCTGCCTCAGTGTCCCGAATGCTGGGATTACAAGTGTATGCCACCATGCCCGGCACTCATACTTTATTACTAATTTTGTCTTTTTGAGACAGGGTCTCACTTTACAGTTGAGGCTGGCCTTGGGCTCACTTTGTAGCCCAGGCTGGTCTCAAACTTGCAACAATCCTCCTGCCTCAGCCTCCCAAATGCTGGGATTACAGGAATGTACCACCCCGCCTTCAATACCACTTTATAATATGTAGAATTTACATACTTCCTTCCTTTGAAAACCAAGACATTTGCCAATCTCTACCTTTGTAATACTTTTAATACTTTAAGACTTAGTAATAATTTAATGACATCAACCAAATTTTCAATCGAGCTGGGAAAAGGAAAGTGCTTTCTTAAGGGATGAGGGGAGAAAAACACAATGCCGCATCCCTGGGACTGGCAACTTGAAAGCCACCAGAGACCTAGGTTCTTCCAAATCGATGGCTTGCTGCATGGTGTGTGCTTCAGAAACACTGGGGACATTCTTTAAAACACACAGCACTACTGGGGTGAAGACCCTGGCCACATGTAGCTTAAAAGACTTTCCAGGTGCCTTTAATGCACATTTTTGTCATCGTAACTGGTCTCTGAAATATGTACGGTTTGGGAACTCTTGAAGCTGCAATCATAAAATGTTATCATCCGCTGTAACAACTGTAATCATCTGCAATAAAGATCTCTAAACCTGTATCTTCCCTGGCATTTCAGGCCATGGACCCATGGCATCTTAAGAGTACACTGTGCCCTCATTTCCTCAGCAGTAGTCAGGAGTACTGGCCATTTTCCTTGATGTCACAATTAGAACTACAATGGTAGGGCTTCCTCCCTCCTAAGTTTACATTGCTTCATCAATCAGTTCTTCATACATGAGTAAATTTAAGTTTCAGAATAGCTGTTTTCACGACGTTTTTCTTCTCGTTGAGAGGAAAACAGATGTACCAGAAATCTCTTTAGAGTATCTCAGCACATTTGTGTTTTAGCATGTAACATTTCTAACGGCAGTCTGGACTTCCCTCTATACATTGGGTTGTTTTATTGGTAAACTACCCACTCATCTCCATTTAGTGAGTCTGTTACTACGTAAATCAGAGACTAATGTCCATGTACTTTTGTCCTTAATGATCTACAAAGCAGCCTTGTTACTTGGGCTGTCTCTCTGCTGGACACACAATACTACCTTCCCTTGCTTCTCACTACCTTCCCTCACTTCTCACGGCCCGGCTTCTTCTGACCGGGTCACTCCTCCCACAGTTACCTCCCGGAGTCTTTCTGCACCATCTCTTGACTGCACGCTCATGTTAAAACAAGCCCTTTATTATTCCCATTTGGTGAATTGTCTTGAGACTCTGCAACTTTTTGATTTGGTGGAAATTAAAATTGTTATTCCTTTTTACATTATATTTTACAGTCTTCAGAGATCATGGATAGTTTTTAAAGAAAAAAAATACTGACTTCATTGTGATGACAGAAAACAAGATGTAATTTAGATAACCGGTTTATGCTTTCAAATAAAACTTCCTACATTTAATTGACTGAGTTTAAGCACAGGTTAAAAATGCAAAGAAAAGCTAACTGTTTTAGGTTTAAGTGAATTTAGTATCATTAAGCTTTCAGCTGCAGATGCAGATATAGTAACATTAAAAGGGAAGGACTAAACACTACCTTTCTCTTAAACTACCAAGGGCTGAGACACATACAAATTTCATGGCAGGTAATCTAAAACTCTTCTAAAAATGATTAACTGTTATTCTATCCAACAAGAAAACCAATACAACAAATCTATCTAATTAGTTAAGACACCAGATACTCGTCATGCAGTTTCAGTGTCTAGTAACAAACCTTTAGACCTTGAAGTTCTGTTTCACAACTTCTGCTAATCATATATTTTAAAAGGATTGATATCCGCTGTAAACTACATATAGAAGAGTACACAATTATCAAGTGAATGCATACATACTGAAGATTCTCAAATCTAGTTTTATAGCATAATCTGAGAGCCTCCAAAGATATATACTCCCAAGTTATTAACATAACTTTAAAAAGTAAAATTTCATATAGGGTGGGACAAACACCATCAACACGCTGAGTGTTCTACCTCTAGAAAGTTGAAATACAACAATATATATATATTTTTTCCATGTAATAAATATTGATGAGAATTGGACCAAGGATTGTTATAATTTCAATTGTCAAAAATTATCTAAGACCAAAAACCATAAGCATTAGAAATTAAAAGAAAAACAAGCATTTCAGAGTAGTCTTTTGCTTTTAGAGACAGAATCTTGCTGTTGCCTAGGCTGACCCTGAACTCCCAGGCTCGGCCTCCTGAGTAGCTGGGGTTGCAAGTGTGTATGGCCACGTCTGGCCTTCAGAATTATTTTTTTCCATTAACATCAAGTTCTAGTAAAAAGTGGTTCATTTAAAAAAAGATGTCAATTTTCCTTATACTATTAGGTTTAAACATTTTTCTAATCCGAAAGAATTTTACCACAGTTAATGATAAAAAAATTAAGCTCTTCTTTTTCATACTTGAGCTAATTATCTGACCACACAGCTCCAAAGCATTATTACAAAGAAAAACTCAGAAATAAAAAATGTTAAGATAGCTCAATGTAACCAAGAAACACGGAATTGGTACCACTAACCGAGACTCCTAAGCTGTCATGTTAGTATTTCATTTATTGAGTGTGTCCTAATAGAACTCTTTGATGAGACCACTCCCATCAACCCCAGGCATACAATAATGGACTTTATTAAATGTAAGGAAACAGCCTGAACTGTAGTCACAATGTCAGAGGTGGTTAAGTTAGAAATAAAGTAACCACTGATGATAAAAATGGCTCTTTTACCCAATTATTTGTTACTTGTGCATTTAAAAATTCACTACTCAGGAAAAAATGACTTAAAATATATATTTCAACTCTCAAAATGAACTGTGAAGAAAAGTATACCACTTCACTAAAATTAGTAATTTCTACAGATATATGCAAGATTTCTACATTACGTTGTAAATGTGTCATCAAAGTCTAAACATTGCAGTATTTTTATTTTTTGGGTGCTAGAGATTAAGCCTAGGTGCTAAGCACACACTCTATCACTGAGCTGTAACCGTAGCCCCACAGTTCAGCATTTTTTTAAAGGGAAATTCAAAGTAGAAGATTTTTTGCTGCATTATGTAACTGAAGACGGTAACTTTTACCTGTTTAATTTACACTGAAAAACTCAAAGTGTCTGATACTTTACCAGTACATATAATAAACTCATTCAATAGTAAACTTATTAAATTCCTGTGTTTACACAGATTAAAAATATCAATTATCACACAGGTTGCATCATACTTCAAGCTATAATATAGGACTGTAACACGGTGCGATCTGAAATTCAAGTTGCAGTTACCAAGATAGTTTTAACCTGAGTCTGATGTCTTTAGAAATGTATTTGATAAGAATGTATGCAAGTAGTGTTATTTTTTAGTAGTTTTCTTTGAATTATTGTTATTACTTAAGTATCTGCATAAAATTATTGCACTTTATTGGGTTCTTTAAACATAGGAAAGCATATGAATGGAAGACTTTTTTCTGCAATGCAAGCAAAAGAACATGATGTCTTAGCTCAAAATGCCTTATATGTAACCTTATTTTCACACTGAGTTATTTTAGAACAAATGTAAAATGTCAAAAGATTATCATAGATACTTGAATATTGAGGAAATGAGCCACACCCACTTGAGAAATTATACAAGTTCACTAAAGAATATCAAATTAATAATTTCCTCCTATAAATATTTTTTTATTTTGTGTTTAGAAGTTGCAGTTTTAAGTACTATTAACAGAAAATAACAAATGCTTCCTAACAAGTGAAAAAAATAATTATAAATGCTGGAAAAATTGGCCTCATTAACATTATTTACAGACTTTTACTTAATACATATTCCTTTGGAAATTAATTATATGACATTTTTACAAGCATTAACATTTCCCAATCACTGAGCAGAGAGCACTTCAGTTCTTTACTGTCTACACCCAGTTACAAAAGTCATTAGTCCCTAAAAGTGGAAATGACATGCTACAGTCTTTTGGTCAAGCTGAGACACTGTCGACACTCTGCTGTTCCGTCCCTTCACTCAGGGATGCTTCTGTGGAGGAAGTATCCTGATGCTGCTTCTTCTCTTTGCTCTGATCTTCCTGCAGCTTCAGAATTATGTTTCGGATTTCTTCTCTTTTCGTTCTCATTCGTGGGGGTGGAAACCAGTTCATCAAATTCATAGGTAATTCAAAATTTAGTATTGGATTCTGAGAATAAAAGGATTATATGCCTATTAAAATTGTAGCAAACGACATTTTCCTTTCAAATACAAAAACCACTTCAAAGTTAAAATGAAAACACCGGTGTGTGCTAAGTCATTACCACACGACAAGCACTGTGCTAGGCAATGAAGGTACAGGACAGCTTCTGCCTTCGATCTCACAGTCTAAACCAGGGGCAGGGAGCAGGAGGGGTGATTATACCCTACAATCTCAGCACTTGAGGGGGCTGAGGTGAGAGAACTGCTACAAATTCAAGGCCAGCCTGGGGTACATGCTGAGTTTAAGGGAAGCCTGAACTATATAGCAAGACCTTGTCTCAACAAACATAAGTAAGTAAGTGACTAGCAAACTAAAGGCATTAGGCCAAAGTCTGCACACTGCCTGATTTTGTAGTAAGGTTTTACTAGAACACAGACATACTAACTCATTTATATATGGTCACTAATGTTTTTACAACAATAGAATTGAGAGTAGCAGCAGAGGCTGTATGGCTGAAAAGCCTTAAGTATTTAGTCTCAAACCCTTTACACTCCTTGTCAGCCCAGGGTAGACAGAAAGGTAATTCAACAGGTCAAACAATGAATAATGGCAAATATTATGACAGGAGAAGTATAGAGCAATGGTGAGAATAAATACCTGGGGGCTTAAAACAACTCCAAGAGGAACTTACTTTTAAGCTAAACCTGAAGAAAGAATAAATGTTAGCCTGCTAAGGAATGACGGAAGTAACAGAAAAGCGTACTCCAGGTAGAAAATATTATGTAAGGCCTACAGACTAGAGAGGATGACACAGTACAAAATGCCTTTTGCTTGGTTGATAAAAGAGAATGCTAGACTGATGCCAGGCGTGGTGGCACACAACTGTAATCCCAGCACTCAGGAAGCTGAGGCAGGAGGATTGCTGCAAATTCAAGGCCAGTGTGGGCTACAAAGTGAGTTCAGGGCCAGCCTGAACTGCACAGTGAACTGCACTATCTCAAAAAGACAGCACCCACCCCCGCCAAAAAAAAAGAAAGAAAAAGAAAAGAAAATGTGAGAATGAGAATGATATGAAAATAAGGCTGAAGTCTGGACAGAGGCCAGATCACACAGGTGCTTATAGACCACTGGAAGGGTTTTGGAAGAGATAAAAAATGATACAGTGAAGACTGGTTGCAAAAAATAGCCTCTCTTAGGAACCAGAACTGAAATATCTGGAAAATAACAATTTAGTAAAGAGAAAAACAAGTGTAACTCCTGACATAAAGAAAGAGCTGAAAGAGAAATAGGAGAAAATGCAGAGAAAAGAAGGAATGAGACCAGTGTGGTGGCACACGCCTGTAATCATAGCACTCAGGAGGCTGGGGCAAGGGGATCGCCGTGAGTTCAAGGTCAGCCTGAGCTACACAGTGTATGCCAGGCTAGCCTGAACTGCATAGTGAAACCTTCATCAACAAAACAAAACAAAATGAAGCCAAGCCAAGCTACAACCAACCCAACACCCCCCGAAAACAAATGAAGCAGTCTGGAATGCTAACCCCAGCTTTCTGGGAGGAGGTCCTGTCTCTGCAAACACAGATGATGCTGGAGATCAAGCTCTTGAACAATGGTGGCAAACCTATGCCATGCATGCAGCAGGTTGTTCTTACCAAAGTTCTAAAAGGTTCAACATCACTGCCCTCGAAGAAAGCTGGAAACTAAGATGCTCAAATATTACATGGAGTCAGGTTGCTGATGGGCATAAACACCAAAGCATAACCAAATCCAAGGACATATCATAGACAGTATGAAGCGATCTCTAGAATGACGGTTTCTCTACCCAAACTGATCTTCAAATCAGTGAAAAAACAGAGAAATATGAGAAAACAAGATGGCTTCAAAAGCCCAAACCCCCCAAAAGCTGATCACAGACACTGAAGTAGAAGATGTTTCAGAGAAATAACTCAAAAACCAAATGGTTAAAATGTTTGAAGTGATAAAAAAAAATACAAGTAAATGTACTGGATGTTTAATTAGCTCAAAGAGGACTTAAACAGATAAAAGATTTTATAAATAAAATGATGAACTTAAAACTAATTGAGATAAACAAGACAAGATATAAATAATCACTTTGGTAAAGAATCAAGTATGAAGAAGGCAAGCTGAAATACATGGTATGAAAAATTCAGTGGAAATCTTTGGTAGCACCCTTGACCAGTTGAGGTCTCAATGTCAGAAATAGAAGACAAGGAAGATGTAGAGGATTATAAACTCAATGATACCTTAAAAACTGTAAGACTCCACACAAGCTGATCCAAGAACTGCTAGATAACTCTCTCAGACAAAAAAAAAAAAAACAAAAAAAAACCACAACATAAATAACCCCCCGAAAACAAACCTTAGAATTACAGAAATGATTCATTACAAAAGATTATATAGTAATATATAATGGGTTATATATATAATGGGTCAACTCCTCAACCAAAAGACGCAGACTGTAGACTGATGGATTGCATAAAAAAACAAAATGCAGCCATATGCTGTCTGCAGGAGACACACCTCATCCAAAAGGAAGTACACAGACTAAAAGTAAAAGGATAGAAAATGATTCTCTCTCCATGCAACAGGAACCTGAAAACAAGCAGAAGTAGCAACCTTATTCTCAAACACAACAGACTTCAAGCCAAAATTGAACAAAGACAAAGATGGCCAGCCACCATATACTGGTACAGGGAACAATCCAACAGGAAAAGATAATAACTCTTACGTATACAATGCACCTAGGTCAGTACACCCAACTGCATGAAAGCAAAACTACTGGACATAAAATGACAGACACCAATACATTCATTGCAGGGACTTCAATACCTCACTCTCACTATTAGGTCAACCAGACAAAAATATCAACAAAGAAATGTTAAGTTAAACCACACCAGTGAATAAATGGACTTAACGGGTATCTACAGAATGTTTCATCCAACAATAACAGAATACACATTTCTCAACAGCATACAGAACTTTTTCCAAAATAGATCATATCATAGGCCATACAGCATGCCTAAATAAATAGAAAAGAATTAAAAGAATCTCCTACATACCTTTGGATCATAGTGAAATGAAATGAAATCAACAGCAAAAGAGACCACAGAAACTACAGAGAGATTAAATAATATGTTACTGACTAATCAATGGATCACAGAAGTAAACAGGGAAGAAACTAAAGTTCCTAGAATCAAAAGACAATGGAAGTACAACATAAAACGTATGGGACACAATGAAGGCATTTCTAAGAGAAAAGTATATAGCTGTGAATGTACATATAAAAAGAGTAAGATCAATCTCAAATAAATAACCAAGTGATAAACTCAAGGTCCTAGAGAAAAAACAAAATGAACAAACAAACAAACCTGATTCAAATATGAAATAAAAGGAAATAAATTATAAACATCTGAGTGGAAATTAATGAAATTGAGACTAAAAAAAATAATATAAAAGAATGAATTTAAGAGTTGTTTCTTTGTAAGGATGGGAAGGGCATCTGGAGATGGGAAGAGATGGGAGGTAGGGTACAGAAAGTAAAAAGAATCAAGATGTAATGTGTGTAGGTATCAATTCCCCACCAATGAATGTATTTACTAATCGCAAACATACACTAATTGAAAAGGGAGAAAAAAAATGGAAGAGTTTTGGACTGTTACATTTAATGCAGAAAAGCAACAGAATTAGATTTGGGGTTTTTGGAAACTGAAAAATAGAAAGCAAGAGCTGTGAGAATCTTTTGAGAGATCAGTGTGATGGTTTACAATTCTGATGCTCACACACGAGACTTGGCAAGTGACAGCAGGAATAAGACAAGGTACACATCTGACATTAAATGATACAATTCACCAGACACAGTAGTTCATCCACTAAAAAGTGGGTGAAAAAGGAAAAACAGTGAAGATTACTGGAAAGAGTATCTAAGAGAAATATGTGTGGTGCTTACTGTACCTCTGAAGTCAAAGGAAGAGTGTGAAAAACAAATGGTCCACAGCAGCGAATGGTGCTGGGAGGCCAGAACAATTTTAATATAAAGCTAAAGATGATGTCATATTTTAGAGAGCTGAGAAGAATTTGTGGAAAAGGAGACAATAAACACAAATACTTCTCAAGAAATACAAGTATCTGTAAAGGAAAAAATCTCAGTCTGAATCATAAGAGAGATCTCATAAGTGGAAAAAGCCAGTGGACTGAGTGAGCTGATTAGTAATGGAATAAGGTCAACAAACTTGGATGTGGTGACCAGTAAATAAGTATTTTTGTCTTAACAGTTCCGCCAGTTGGACGTTTTTGCTCAAGAAATATATATATATGAAGGAGAGAAAAGAGGTTACAAGAAGTAGTCTGAACTGCAAGAGAGATCTCAATATAGAATAATTTTTTTGAACAAGTTTTCAAATTCTTTAAAATATTTGCTCACTGTGTTTATATACAAAATAATGTCAAAATACTATTTTGTTATTTACTAGGTCAAAGTTAACAAACTGAAACTCACCTCAAAAAAGCTCTCTACATACTGCAATACATACACACCACAATCACTGAAGTTGTTTTGCTGAGGTACTTTTGGATTAGATCCTTTCATAACATCTTTGGAAAAACTTCTTTTGCTTCCTTTTTTAACTTCCCATTCCACTTCTAAATACCTGCAAGAATGCATACATAAAAATATATGTAAATGTAAATACATAAATTGCCTCATGTCCATCACAATATGAAACAAAATGTGAGGTGCAATTCTGAACTTACTCTCTTAGAATTTTTACAACATTTGACCGAGAGGGGCCTCTGAGTGAGTCCATAAGTAGAATACAAGGTCTGTGGGGTAGAAATGACCAAAAGTTGAATATTTGTAATGCCAAAAGTACTGAAATGTTTAAAGATCTGGGCTCTTCTTGGCTAACATTTTTTGTGATCTGGAGCATCCTCCCTCTTTCTGTGCTAATGATTAAATCCAGGGGTTCACCCACGCTTTTCACACACTGTACTACTGAGCTATGGCTCCAGCTCTGGAGCAGATCTCATAACTATAATAAATATATTTTCTTTTATAAATGAAGTTTGTCTTTCAACATCACTTAATAGAATCTCTGCCAACATTATCTACAACAAAATCAAAGGAAATTAAATCCAGAAATAGGTTATACTTCATCATCTAAGGCTGGAGCTTCTGGAGAGACGTTAAAATACGTATCTACTTCTGAAAACTGACCCTGACTCACTTTCATTTGAGGTTCCCATGTAAAAATCAGCCCTCATACAGTAGGTATGTCAGTGTCAACTCCAACCTCATGGTACTGTTTTGATGTACAGTTGTTTTCTGCTCCAAAACACTATATAAAGAAAGAATTGGGTTCACTATTATGATGTGTACATCTGTGGATGCCGAGGATGGGAAAATTGGCAAAGGAGGAATGAAATTAGCCATTCTTCCCTCCTTGAACCCTGGATATCTGCTTTGCTTTTTTCCTCATGGAACCTGACAAACTTGTGAATTCTGCTTAAATAAAAACTGCCTGGTCATGCTTTGTTCTATGAATGTATTTAAATAAAGCTTAGTCATGTAACATACACGAGATATAGTTAATGCTTACTGTTTACAGATAGTAGGCTTTAAATGCCACTGTCCTATTTCTGAATTACAGTTGTCATCAGCAAGGAACCCATCATCACTGCTATCATCCTATAAAAGACAGCCAACTGTTAGTATTTATACTACCTAAATAATTAATACCTAACAAAATAGTACTAGTAATAAAAATCCTTGAAATATGAAAAAAAATTTCTACTTAAGAGAATGACAAAAAAAATGTAGCATGTTACTGGATCCCAACTATCTAATGTTGTAACACTGGCATTTTAGAAACTACTAATCACAGATTTACTAAAAATTATTTTATCTATTCACATAATCTAGAAAAAAAATCTTTGGAGACTAATTCTTCTGTCAATTAGTTCTGTTCTGATTTCAGTTTATTTTTATAAAAATTTAGCTTGTTGGCTAAGACAGCTCCTTCACAGTAAGACACTAACAACATATTTATTATTCTTTTACATGAGTAATTTTTTCCATACCAGGAATATTTAAAGGATTTTTGTTTTTATTTTTTTAAACGATTTTTAGAAACACTTTTCCTTGACAGAACCATGTGTTTACTTGAAAGAAGACAGCTTAAGAATGATTTATTCTCCAGATTTTCTTTGTAATATGAGAAAGCTTTTTGCAACTTTATTAATGGAATAATCAACAGTATGATCAGATTAACTAGTACAGTAAATGCAACAGGTAATTGCTATAACCAAAAAAGCTTAAAAACAAGTGATCATCAAAACTTGTGAATACAGCCAGGCGTGGTGGCACACGCCTGTAATCCCAGCACTCAGGAGGCTAAGGCAGGAGGATCATTGGGAGTTTGAGACCAGCCTGGGCTACAAAGTGAGCTCAAGGCCAACCTGAGCTGCATACTGAGACCCTGTCTCAAAAGAAATAAATTGCGAATACAATCATTTAATATCAGGTTGAGTATCCCTTATTTTTGTTTTTTTGTTTTGTTTTTTGAGACAAGGTCTCACTATGTAGTTTAGGCTGGTCTTGAACTCATGTCAGTATTCCTACCTTAGCCTCCCGAGTGCTGGGATTATAGGCATGTACCAATATGCCCAGCTTGAGTATCCCTTACTTGAAATGCTTGGGCCCAGAAGTGTTTTAGAATATTTATCTAGGGAGTAAAGCATTCCTAATCTGAAAATCTGAAATCTGAAACTTCTTCAGTGTCATTTTGCATTTCAGATTAGTGACGCTCAATATGTGTATGTTGCAGATAAAGAAAGACCCTGTATTTTATAGTCACAGGAGGTAAGCCAAGGGCATCAGAAAAAAATGGCTTAACCAAAAAGGAAAAATGGTATACTATAAAGCCATCTTCATTACTATATAAACAACGCAAAGTTTATTTTAACAAGAAAGGTCATAACAGTAAAGAAATGATATGCTGTATGATTCTTACAAACTTTTCTTTTAATAAATAGTGGTACCTTGGTTCACAAACTCAATTCTATGATTCTGGTTGCAAACCAAGATGAGAACCGAATCAAATTTCCCCTTAAGGTCAACATTGAAGATAACGTCTGAACTTGATTCAGTTCTTGTCCACTCAATTTGCAACCAGAATCATGGAATCAGGTTTGTGAACCAAGGTACCACTGTGAAGATCTCTTTAACAGAAGTTATAAAATATATTCAAAAATGTTTATTAGGGGAAATAAGACTAAGAAAATATTAAAATTCACCTTATTTAATGTTAATCAAATATAATCTGCTCCTGCCAAAATACACACACATAAGGAGAAAAATAATATAATTTTGTTTACTTATGTCTTAGGTAATTGAAAATTTAAACATTTTCCTGAGGATTTCAAGTAAGACTAAAAGTTATGTATGGTCCATAAATACTTTGAAAGAGGAAGGGGAAGAGGTGGTGTGTTGCTGTCTAGGTTGGGGCTAAAGTTAGTCGTATGCTAGCACTCTCTGAGCTGGTAGTAGAGTTCAGCCCCTATCTCACCAATAAAAAGAATTAATAATACCAACATATTTATCCAGGGACCTTATGACCTAAAAACTAAATTGGTGCTCTGAAGACATGACCAAATCCAGAAAGTATGGTCAAATAAATGTTTGAAGGAATTACAAGACTCTATAAGGAAAAACTTAAATAAACAAAACAAAAACCTGAAACTTTTATCAGGCCATATGTTTTACCTGGTTATCTTGATCTTCTGAGAAGTCGATGAGTTCATCTTCAAGCATTTTACTACCTTCGGCTGACTCATCGCTATAGTTCATTCTGATATTGCTTAAGCCATCTGTACCAATAAGAAGCTTTATATAATAAAAAGGTCATGCCTTTAACTACAGGATATAATGCTAAAATTTATGTTAGCAATTACTGACATAGTTAAGACTATAAAATCTACCATGTAACTCTACAAATACAAGTTATTTTAAATGAAAACTTGGGTTAATATATCAAGTACAGAATTATTTCAACTGAAGCCCTGAAGTCCATTAAAATTAAAAAACCAGGTTATCAAGTTATATGATTAAATATATGTATACTTAACTACATGTATATATAAGTAGATAAGCATTTGTGTGCTAGATATGCCAGGTATCTAACTCATAATGAAGGCTACAACAGTCTGAAAATAATATAAATGTTTAGTAATACAAGCAGTAAATTGCAGAATATGAAATAAGGTACAACTTTTAAAACTGTGAAAACATGGAAAATTATAAAGGGTAAAAGGGATTAAAAGTAAGAAAATAACTTTGCTTTTGGATAATTAAAAGAAAAATACAAAAGGGATAACACTGTATTAGTATCATTATATAATCATTCATTACATAATTAGTATCAACATAATCATTGACTGGTATTTGTAATTGAGTTCCTGTAAGTCTTGTGTATTTTTCTTTCATGCTTGTTTATATTCATACTTTTCAATTACATAAAAGCACACAAGGCACTTGCAGTTGCTGGTAGTATAAAAGTAACTCACTCACAGGAAAAGGATGAAGTGCATACTTTTAAAGGCCTATTTCAAGACTTTAAATGGTTAAAAATCAATTCTTTTGCTGAAAGAAGCTTATTATGTAAAATATTTTAAGGAAATGTAAGATTTACAACAAAGCAGTGAACTATTAATATATCAATACTGTTTAATACAGAGCTTACCATATCAGAATCTTAAAACTTGTGCTTTTTAGGTATTTTAGATAAATGTTTTGATATAACTCATTAAGTTATAAGCGGTTAAGAATATTAATATAAAGGAGATGAGATGGAAGAAAAATAAAGTACAGTCCTAGAACAGGTATATATTCAAATGCTGCTATCAGAAACATACTATTTAAAAAAACTAATCAAGCATAATGGTAAATCTTTTAATACAAGTAATAACTTCTTCAATTTCTTTTTCAAAAATCTATTTTTATGTTTTTTAAAGTCAAAATGTTTCTCTATATAAAATTCTCAAGATGTCTATATTTCAATAAAACCTATCAAAATCCTCAATTAAGAATTAGTCAGTTACATTAATGATTATTTATTTGATCAATCTTGCATGTCTCTTTGTTTTCCTGAGAAACCACTTTGAAGATATCAATACGTAGTACAACAACCATTGTTAATTTCCTACCACTTTATCTGTATTGTTTGTATTGTTCTTATACTATTTTGTAAATGGATGCCTGTTAATGTTTTCCTTTTTTTTTAAAGTTAAAAAAAGAATGTCAATTATAATGATGTATTTCTAGCAGTAAATCCCTCCTATTCACAGAAAGTGGTTATATAACTGTCTATCTTGTACCAACTAAACTATCTGTGTACTTCAAAAACAACAGAACAACAATTTAAAGGATACAGTCAATTCTCCCCATTATTTCCCTGAAGAAACAAATGGCCTGGAGTAAATGGAAAGGTGACAACTTAATCATTTGTTCTCTTAGTGTCAGTTCTTCAGTTTCTCATGGAGTGAGAAGCTCTGAAGATGCTGAGTGTGATTCTGAAGTTTAAAAAGACACATTTTTTTTACACACCCTAGCAAGTAAATCATTCCCTAAGGTGCCCAAAACCCAACCATTATTATTTTCTTATGGCTGACCTGAAAATCTAATCTGTGGGATATCACTGCATTTATTTACTATAGAGCAGTGGTGGCAAACTTACGATACACCTGTTATTTTTCTTTCAAAAGATCTTAATGTATGATTTGTTTCTTAAAATTAAAACTTCAGTATTCAGGTTTAATTGCAGTGTTGGCACTGCAAGTGGGTTGCAGTTTGGGCACTTGCCTCATTAAAATGTTTGTCATCAGTGCTATCTAGCATGTTACCTATCTATACTAGTAGTCAGGGTCTGTAATTATACATGCTTGACAGTTAAGGTTACGTTAAAAGTGCTTAAAATACATCATTGAAATCCTGTTGATTACCAGATCAAACAGAAGTTAATTCTAGAGTTATCATGTCACAAAACATCACAAACTTTCATCCTAACTTTAACATGCCATCATCATATTCAGGACGGACTTGCCTAGTGATCCTCTCTGAGGTGGTAAAAGCACATGTAGAAAGCACACTCTCAGTTAAGGTATTTTGGGTCATTGATCCCTTTGAAATCTAGTAAAGGAGGCTCACTGAAAAATGCACAGACCCACTTTACAGTACAGTGATTGAAGAATAGAAAAGTATCCATACTATTCCACATACAATGTTCGTTTCAGGAAGTCATAATTGATACAGTTAAACACATACTGTCATGGCTTTTTATCTAGATGGCCCCCAAAGTCTCAGTCTTACAGATGGGGCTTTTCAAAGATGGCTGGATCTACAGTGTGTGAATATGCATGAAGGGTGTATGATAACTAAATTAGTCCACTGATTGGCTTAGCAAAGTTCTGGGTGTGGCTAGTGGGAAAATCCACCCTGGGCACGGATGGTACTACCCCAAAGACTTGTAGACTGGATGCAATAAAAAGGGAGGCTTGCTGCTGCCTTCTGTCTGCCACGCCATGAACTGCAATGCCAACCTGACTTGGAGCCAGCTGATTACGGACTAAAACTTCTACAAACTGAGCTAAAATAAATCTTCCCTCCTGTAACTTGTGCCTGTTGCGTGCTTCGTCCCAGCAATGAAAAAATAATCAGGACATACTAAACACAAAAACAAATGCACAAACTATGATAAAAAGAACAATAAATGGGATAAACAGATATTAGTGAGACAAACTGCATATAAAGCAAGTTATTTTTTACTTTGGTTGCCACTACAGGTTTTGAGGCTATTTCCTCAGATTTAATAAGCTATTTACTCAACCAAAACATTACTTTATACAAGAGGGCACTAGTTATTGCTACAATTTCTGTATGGAAAGCCCAAAGCTTTGTCCCCTTGCTTTAGGTCATACATTTTACTTCTTATCTGAATTCACATTAAAGGGTTTAAGAATATTACTCAAAGGAAGCCTTTTTCTTTTGGATGCTGAAGATCAAACCTAGGGCCTTACTCTCTACCACTCAACTATGTCTCCAGTTTTATTTTGTTAACAGTAGTGCTGAAACACAATTCACCTGACATTTTCTCATTCGGAGTGCACAATATGCTGGTTTGAATAAGTCAACCCTCTGTATGTACAAGTTCTGTGCCTATGGATTCAAGAAAAATATCAAAAATATTTGAAGAAAATTTGTACTGAGTGTGTAGAGAGGTTTGTCATTAATTACTCCATGAATAATATAGTGTAACAGTTACACACATAACGTTTACACTATATCAGCTAATAAATACAAGTAATCCACAGATGCTTTAGTACATGGGAGGATGTACACAGCTTATATACAAGTGTTATGCCATTTTTTTATATGGACCTTGAGCACCCATGGGTTCTGGTATCTGAGAGGACGGAGACTCTGAAATCAGTCCTCTAAGGGACAACTGTATATTCACATATGTTTACAACTATCATTGCAACCATTTTTTTTTTCAGAGCTGACAATGGAACCTAGAGCCTCACACATGCTAGGCAAGTGTTCTATCACTGAGCTATACCCTCATCCCCCACAATTTATTTTATTTTATTTTTTTCAGACAGGGTCTCACTATGTAGTTCAGATTGGCCTTGAACTCACTACATAGCCCAGGCTGGCCTCAAACTCTCAGTGATCCTCTTGCCTCAGCCTCCCAAGTGCTAGGATTACAGCTGTGTACCACCATGCCTGGACCCCACATCTACTTTATTTGGAGGGGGGAGGATGTACCGGAAATTGAACTCAGGACCTTGTGCCTCCTAGGCAGGTGTTGCACTGCGAAGTTATATCCCTGGCCTTTTTGTTTGTTTGTCTTTTTGAGAGAGGGTTTTGCTATGCAGTTCAGGCTGGCCTTGAACTCACTTTGCAGTCCAAGCTAGCCTCGAACTTGCAGCAATCCTCCCGTCTCAGCCTCCCAAGTGCTGGGATTACAGGTGTGCACCACCATACCTGCTCCCACAATCTATTTTTAAACTTCAAAAAGAATAAACTTCATACCCTTTAGCATCACTTGTTTCCTTCCAAATTCCCATCCACCTCCTTTCCTTGGCCCCTAGAAGACCTAAGCAGTCACTGATCTACTCTATAGATTTCCTTGTTCTGGAGAGTTTATACAAATGATTATTTTTTTTTCTATTCAAGTATTAAAATACTAAACTTGAAAAAAATTATAGACAAATATTTGACTGATTACCTACTTTGCATGCCTGTATTCTATTTCCTACCTAATGAAATAGACTGGAAAATGAGCCAGAAAAGTATTTATTTGTGTGACCTTTGATGAACTTTTTCCACTAACACTTCACTCTACTACCTCATGTCTCTCGAAAGATCATTACTCTAGGGCTAATTATACCTTTATACAACTTAGTATAGCTAACAAACCCAAATAATCTTGTAACAGCAGAAGTTTTCTGACTGAGTAAAATCACATAAGCTGGGAGTAGTACCAAAATATGTTCAGTATTCATAATCTTAAATAGGTTCTTTCTGAAACCACATTGTTTTTTCTATGGTCTATACCAATTCTTCTCACCCACAGAAAATTTGTTGTGCTCACTTTGGCAGCACATATATAAAAAATGTGTTAAGTGCTTATCAAGTTTGCATAAGCCACATACTATATAGTATGTTAATAGTTTTAAGAAGTAGACTTAAAAATACTTGTTAACTGACACATAATATTTGTACATATTCTGGGGGCTGAGAATATAGTTCACTGGTAGAAGCACTTACCTAACACACATAAGGCTCTGGGCTCCATCCCCAGCACTGCAAAACAGACACCGCCTCCCCAAACTTTGTACATATTTATGGAGTATCCTGTCACTTTTGATACATGACACATTATGTAAAGCTCAAATCAAGGTATGGAGTAAACTATTTTATTTGTGGTTTGCAGAAAAAAATTATACCACTGATGATATCAAATTTAAGAATCTCAAAAGAAATTTGTATTTCTGTAACAGTAGCTAGAAATATGAAACTGATTCAAGGAAAATCAGTTTATTAGAGATAGAGAATAAAAAAAACCCAGAAATTAGAGTGGTGTCCCTCATTGTACTGAGAACAGTGAAAGACAGCTTTAATTGCTTAGAGGAGAAAGGATTAACTTCTGCTTCTGGTCACTTGTACTTACTTTACCAATCTGTATTCTGAGAAGACTGAAACTTATTTGCTTTACGGATCTAAGACCATGCAAATGCTGTTTATTATGAATACAGAGATAAATCTAAGTTCTTATAAATAGAAAATGTAAACCATGTACATGGTGACTATCCTCTATCTGAAATGTTTGCAACCAGAATTGTTTTCAGAATATTTAAATATATATGAGAATATTTTAAAATATATGAGGCGTTGGGTCTAAACCTAAATAAAAATTCGTCTGTTTCACATTCACCTCATATACACAGCCTGAAGGTAATTGCTTACATTTTTATTGTGTATGCATTTTGACTGGAATCTGTCACGTGAAGTCAGGTGTGGAATTTTCTGATTGTGTAATGTTGGTGGCTAAACAAGTTTCAGATTTTGAACTCTTTCAGATTTCAGAGTAGGAATGTTCAACCTGCACTATAGTTTCAAATTTTCACTCCAAGGGATAAGGAGAAGACTGACTACAAAAGGGGTAAAGAAGCTTTTTGGAGTGATAGAAAGGTTTGAAACTCTTGTGGTAGTCACTACATGACTATGAAAACTCAAGCTATACTCATGAGTGAATGTTACTCTAAGTAAATTATACCTCAATAAACTCAACCTCAAAACAAAACTGTGCAATCTTTAAAAAGTTCTAATTCTGAATTATTCTTTTCCTTCAGAACACATAGTACATACCTGGGTGATGTACAGAATTGAAACATTCATCCTGTAGGCCATTCTCACTTTTAGTCCTATCGACAACTTTCTGGCATGAAGATTCTCCTTTATTCGACTCTTCATTTTCGCTTGCAATATCATTTATTTTCTTCACAGTGCATATGCTTCTCCGATCACAAGGATCGCTTTCTTCTTGTCCACTGCTTGAATCAGTTACAGCTAGGCAATGCTTTTTGGTTAGCACCTTCTTAATGACAGGCTTGGCAGAAGAATTCTGTGAACAACTGTCCATTTCATTGGAAGAAGAACTACAACTGTCTTCTACAGTTGAATTTTTTTGTATGACTGCATTTTCATGGTAATGAGGATTAGGTTCATACTTTGGTTTTTCTAAACCAGGGAAACAAACAACAGCCAAAAACCAGTGTGCACTGTAACAAACAAACAAAACTACTAAATACATTAGGAAAGGTAATCGTAACTGGCAATACATATCAGTTGAAATAGTTTCTCTAAAGCTTTTGTGAACAAATTTACTAATGATGCTCTATTTCTCCCAATTCTCAAATTATTTATATTTGTTCTAACTTCTTTATACAATCACTGATTAACAGAATACAGTACTTTTTTAAAAATAAATTTTTGTTAGAATTATATTGCCTTCATTCACTTTGAAAACAAATCTGTAAAACTTTGTTTTTGCTATTATTATTATTATTTTTACTTTAATGTCTGTTTTAATATGTTAGAAGTTTTTTTTTTTTGGTTTTTCTGCGGTACCGGGAACCGAACTCACGACCTTGCGCTTGCCAGGCAGGCGCTTTTGCCGCTGAGCTAAATCCCCAGCCCTTTAATGTCTGTTTTTATTATTAGTGAAAGAGGTGAGCAGGCAGCATTTCACAGCCTTTCCAGGACCTGCAATTGAGACACCTGCGAAACAAATCAGTGAGAAGGAAAAGCTCCAGAAATCAAGAAAGGGCTGACAGAAAAACTAGAAATCTGAGAAACAGGAAAGGAAAAGGAAGGAAGGAAGTGTTCTGGAAGAAATCCTAGCTCCTGGGGAGGAGATAAAAAGAAATTCACTGCAGCGCCTGCCATATTTGGAAGTGTTTGATCAGGAGCCATTTTTGTAGGAAGTTAATGTTTTAAGACTGAACTACTTACTCCCAGGACAGAACTACACTTGAAGAGTTTCTAAGGTCACTCTACCACAGTGACTGACTGGTTAACTCCTTCTTTTCTTCTTTTTTACTTTTTACTTTTACTTACTTCTATTACGTCTTTTATTTTTATTTACTTATTTATTTATTTTTTAAAAGAGAAAACCCTCCCCAAATTTCAAAACAATAAGAGGGTAACTATGGTTAATACATTATGCATTTTATCTTTCATTTAGTTACTGAGAGTACAAGATATAGGCATTTAATTTTCCAAACAATATTAGCACAAACCTTTCTTTTCAATGAACTAAGAGAAATTAGTAGTATAACTATCTTGTTTACCTACTTCTATCATTTTTGCTTTTCCCTTCCTTTTCTCCTTTCTCCCATCCCAGTTAAGTCTTTGATTCTTTAACTGGATTCTTTATCTCACTTTTCTCTCCTCTTCCTATTCTTTTTCAAATTTTACTTTTCATTTTTCCTTTCCTCCACCTCTCCACTTTCGTTTTGTTTTTGAGACAGGGTCTCACTGTGTAGCCCAAGCTGGCCTCAAACTCATGACTATCCTCCTGCCTCAGGCTCCTAAATGCCGCGATCACAGGCAGGCACCACGCCTGGTGACCCCTCCATTTTTGTATCACTAGCAACCTTACTAATTTTTAGATATTTAGTTGAGTCTATGCTACTATGCTGAACACTGTTCTGTTGTTAATGGTGGTATAGCTGTCACATTTAGTAGCTACTATATGTCAATATTTGGTGTGCCTTTGGGTCTATATTATTATTGTAGATTTTTTCTCTATTATTATGAGTGGTACAGTGGTAGCTCTTATTGGTTCTTATGTACGCCAGTATCTATGGATTTCTCCACTATTACCAGTGGTACAATAGCTATTGCTATTAATTGGTTTTTACAGTGTGGCAATATTTGGTCTGTCTTTGTATTATCAACATGACTCTGTGGTGCTGAGGCTGAAGCCCCCTGAAAAAAGTTGGATATGAAGAGACCCTCAAGTGTAACACTGAATAGACTGGAGAGGGATGCAAACACCAAAACATAAACACAAGCACATATTACAGAGGGACATTTTAACTAAAGATACCTCCACACCCGGTACTGAAAAAAACAACAACAAAAAGATACCTCCACAGTAGTGACAGAGTTTCTACCCTAACTGATCTTCAATCTGCACCACAAAAATGACACAAATATTAAAAGGCAACAGATACCTTCTAAAACCCCTAACTCCCCCAATGTACATTGAAATGAACGAAATTACAAAGAACTTGGAAACAAAATGCTCAAGATGTTTGAAAAGCTCAATGAAGAAACATAAGTAAATTCACAAGATATTGAGTAAGCTTAAAGATTTTATTAAACAGGTAGAGGATTTTATAAATAAAATGTGCAACTAGCTTGAGGAAACATATGCTAATCCAGTTAAACAAAACCATACAAATATGAATGAGCAGTATGGTAAAGATTTAGAAATTCCTTATGAAAAGGAAGCACACAGAAATACAACACAGGAAAACTTCCACAGAAAGCATGGGTGGTAGATTTGACCAATAAAATGATGGTGTATCAGCAATGGAGAAGGTGGATATAGTGGATCATACAAATGATGTGCTAAAAACTACAAGACAATATGCAAAGCCTGATCCAATTGCCACCAGATAACTAAAAAAAACCAAACAACACCCCTCTGAGAATTATAGGAGTAATGGAAAAATTAGATGACTTAAACGAATAAGAATGTATTCACTGAAATCAGACCAGGAAATGTTCCAAATCAGAAAGAATTCAATATCCAGGGCTGGGGATCTAGCTTAGCAGTGCAGCACCTGCCTGGCAAGTGTGACGTCCTGAGTTCGATTCCTGGTACCTCACCAATTCAATATCCAAGTATAAGAGTCTTACAGAACCCTAAAGAATCACAACCAGAAAAGAACATCTCTAAGACACATCATAATCAAAATCCCACAAATTCAACAAATTACAAAAAACTAAAAGCTGTTAAAAAACAGAGAGTAACCCATCAAAGCAAGTCTATCAGAATAATAGACTGATTTCTCGGCACAAACCTTGTTTCTCAAGCCCTAAAATGAAACAGTTGTCAACCCAGACTTTTATATCCTGAGAAACTAGCCTTCAAAAATCTAGAGAGACACTTTCCACAACAAAGAAAACCTAAAATACATCATCACTGTCTTAGTTATTTTTCTTATTGCTGACAAAATACCCGATGCCCCAAGTTAAAGGAGAAAAGGTTTATTTACTTAGCTCACTGTTTGTCCACTATCGGCTGGCTCTAAGGCAGGATTAGCATGGCAGAGGGGTTACACAGAGAACCAATTCTTGGCAAGCAGAAGGCAGCAAAAGCAAAAAAGCAAGAAACCTTAACAGCGTCCTTCTGCCTCCTTTATCTTATTCAGGCTACTCAGGGCAAGTAACACTCACACCCTTAATGCTAGTGCCCTGGACTCTAGCATTGCACCATGAATCAATTCCGGTATAACATACTCTAGACTAGCCATTTCTGAAAAAACCCCACCTCTAACTTTATGAGGCTTTAGGGAGACATCTAAACAGAAGCCATAACAATCCGGCACTGCAGAAAGTACTTAAGGGAACCCTAGACAGACACACAGAAGTAGCTATCTTATTTTCGGACACAAGAGACTTCAAACCAAAACTGATTAAAAAAGAAAAAGATGGCCGGCCACTGCAAACTGGTACAGGGAACAATTCAACAGGAAAAGATAACAACTCTTACGTATACAATGCACTTAGGTCAGTACACCCAACTGCATGAAAGCAAAACTACTGGACATAAAATGACAGACACCAATACATTCATTGCAGGGACTTCAATACCTCACTCTCACTATTAGGTCAACCAGACAAAAATATCAACAAAGAAATGTTAAGTTAAACCACACCAGTGAATAAATGGACTTAACGGGTATCTACAGAATGTTTCATTCAACAATAACAAAATACACATTTCTCAACAGCATACAGAACTTTTTCCAAAGTAGACCATATAGCATGCTTAAATACAGAAGAACCCCTGTGTGTCACTGGATCATAGCAAAATGAAACTAGAAATAAATAACAAAAGAGATCACAGAAATGACACAAACACATGGAGATTGGATCACAGAAGTAATGAGGAAGAAATGAGAAGTTCCTAGAATCAAATGGCAATGGAAGCACAACATACCAAAAAATATGGGACACAAGGACAGCAGTTCTAAGAGGGAAAGTTATAGCTATAATTACAAATATAAAAAGAACAGAGCAATCCCAAATATCCAAGCGATGCACCTCAAAATCCTAGAGGAAAAAAGACTCAATGTGGAACTAAAAAAGTAAAGATATAAAATTATAGTGGAAATTAGTAAAATTGGAACTAAAAAATACTACAAAGGATCAATGAATCCAAGAGGTGATTCTCTGAAGGTCGGGAAGGGCATTTAGAAAAAGATTCAAGATGGAATAAACTTGAGGTTTCTGTAGGTAAATGGATGCAACCGGAGACCATACTCATAAATGAAATAAATCAGACCCACATGTGTAAACATCATATTGTCCCCCTGTGTAGGAACCTGAAAGAATAGGTAAAACTCAAAATGTACAATAGATGGTAGGAAAGGGAAAGAAATTGCTCAAAGAAAGGAATGACTGGGATGAGGGAAAGAAGAAAAAAGAAAGAAGGCAATATATATATATGAATGGCTGGGATAACTGTACTGCTGAGGTCTGATGGTATTGAATGGAATAGTTAATGCTTAAAGTTTTTTATGTTCTGACCAATCTTGCAAGCATATATCTGGTAATCTGAGCAACTGATTTGAAGACAACAATATACAATAGAACAACCATGGTGAATTCCTACCATCTTGTCTAATGAAACTCTGTATTATCTCTAATGTTTTATCTAACACTTATTTTTTTATTCTCTTTAATGGTTTGATCAATCTTCCATTCTTATATCTGGTAATCTAAGCAACATAGTTGAAGACAACAATATGTAATATAACAACCACTGTTAATTCTTATCATTTTGTCTTGAAACCCTGTAACACTTTTAATGTTCTTGCTTTGCTTCATTTATGTTTGTGATGTTGTTATGCTGCTATTGCTTTTTTTTTTTTTTTTATCTCATTTACTACTCTCTCTAAAATAAAAAAAGAAGATTCAAGGTGGAATGTGTATATATACCAATTCCCTCATGTTGAATGCACTGTACACATATTGCAAAAGTATAAACAAGAAAAAAAAAGGAATGGGCTGGGGATGTAGCTCAGTGATAGGGCAAGGGTTGAGGGGAAAGGGAGGAAGAGAGAAAGGGAGGGAGAAAGAAACTGACTTTTAAGTGTAGAAATGTACCGGCTGATTTTGAAGACGCAAACTTCAATACTGTAATACTATATACTGTAAAAGAGCCACATGGCTAGTATCTGACAGTGACCACTAGGAACTGACGACCACCAAGAAAATAAAGCCCTAAATCCTACAATCACAAGGAATGCGTTCTGCTAACAACCTGAACAAGCTTGAAGGAGGACTCCTCCAAGTGAAAATGCAGCTAGTCAACACATATATTTCAGTATTGCTGACTCCTGAGCAGGGAATCCAATCATACCCTGCCCAGACTTCTGATCTACTGTAAGAAAATAAGTGGATGCTGTTTTAAACAACTAATAATTGTGATAATTTACTATGGAATACGACAAAGCTAATATACTTAATTACCCCTAGTAAACAAATAAAACTTAACTGGCGCATATTCACAAAGTTAAATGGTATGAAATGCCCAGAATGAATCTTGGAAACCGACAGTAAGTGGTATATGCAAAATCAAATAATTATTTAAACATCCTATATAAAAGACTTTTTTTTTTCCCATTCCTGAGACAGGGTCTCACTGTGTATTTTAGGCTACTCTTGAACTCATAGTGATCCTCCTGCTTCAGCCTCCCGAGTACTAGGGTTACAGGTGTGTACCACCACACCTGGCTCATATATGATGTTTTTAAAAAGCTGTTTTCAAAAGGCAAGAAATAAATTCACCTAAGTTTATAACTTGTGGGAAATAGATGGGAGGTTAGGACAGGGGAAAACTCGTAAGTATATACACATTACCCAAAATATTTTAGGTTCTGAGCTAGTACTAGCTGGTGCCATATATTATTCTAAATATAAAATTTTGTTAATATAGATTTTATATGTATCAAATATTATATTAGAAAATATATGAAAACTGAATCATTTCCTATTTCTCTTAGAATTACTGATTAGGTTCTACCACTTCTAAATAATCTAGTCTCTACCCATTTGTCTCAAGCCTCTCTATCTGCTTTCTACTCAAGCTACAATGACTCGCTTCCTCTTTCTTATCAAGGTTTTTCTTATCTTGAGCTCTCATACATGTTCATATACAAATTCCTTACTTCTAGCTCTTGGAAATGCTGGAGTGCCATTTAAGCCTTTAATATTACTTACATGTTTTCCCTGACAATTCTTATAAAAATCAGTCACCTCCTTTATTTTTGTACCATCCTTGATACCTTCATATCTTAATTTATATCTTCATAAATCTTTGTTTACTTTTCGTCTTTACTGTGTTATGAATTTTTTTCTTTACGAAAGACACTATTTTAAAATCATAACACACATACAGCTTAAAACATAAAGTATGGGCCACAAGTAAGAAGTTGCACAGTCTTAACTAAAATTTATTGACCTAACAAAACTTTTGAGGACCTATTATTTACTAGGCATAGAGTTAGGTGAAAGATACAGTGGACAGGCTATGAATGTCAGCTTATTAGCCAAGCACAGTATCTGTCATGTGGTAGGTTTAACAAATAACTGCTAAAAGAAAAAAAATAAACATATTGGCAGATATAAAGTTATTCCATATTCTCTTTTTTACAAAGTGTTAGAATACCCACAAGCTACTGTAGTACTAAGAAATAGAGCTGTCTCTATCAGACAGCACTTAGTAGTACAAAGGTCATGCAGATAGGTTTTATCCTCAGTATTAAAAGGCCAGGTGGATGATGCTTCTCTCTTGTTCTTAATTATTAATTCTCAGTATACAATGGACTTAGGTCAGGCTGGGGTAGTAGAAAGAACACACCAATTTCCTCATTTCATCAGCTTTGAGACACAGCCTACGAAGTCACATCTCAATTTGAGAAACATGGAAAAATTATTTTAAAAACTGATAAAATATGTCACAATACAGTCATTCTCAACATGTAGCTGCCTCAGAATGTTTTTAAAATTTCCTTTTTTGGGGGGGGGCAATATTGGGGATTGAACCTAGGGTCTTGGTACTGAACTGTATTCTCATCCCTCTTTTGCATTTTAAAACGGGTCTTGCTAAGCAAATCTTCCAGGCTGGGCTGGACTTTGTGATCCTCCTGACTCAGTGTGCTAGAGTGCTGGGATTACTGGTATGCCCCACCACAACCAGCTTTAAAATTTCTTAAGAATGCCACCAGGGATAAGCTATAAAATTTTTGCTGCCTCACTTAAAAAAACAGGAAAAGTCCAATTTTTTTTCCTGGTTGAATGGAGAAAGCTGAATCAGACGGTCACTTCCAATGCTAAATAACAAGAGTTTTGCTTTTATGAACCATTCTAATAGCAGCTGTGTTAAGCTTAAGTCAATAATAGAAGATGCTACAGTAGGCAATATCACTTATGATGGATTAAATCCAAATATCAAATATGTGTTCCTTGGCAGTAACTGTGATAGTTTCTAATAAACACTTTATAAATTAAAAATCAGTATCTTCAGAAAATAAAATACATAATAAATACATGCCAGCCTATCCAGTCAAATTAGTGCATATAAATATTTTTGACTTTACCTATTTAAAAAGCAAACCAAGACCTCATGATTTGTTGGCTAACTTCTCATCTACAAATGGTGTACCCCTGTAGCAGATCCTTTCTTGGACTCACGTTACTGTTCTTCTCCCACCAAGAAAACAAGAATCACTGGTTGCCTCTATCCATATGTATAACCACTAAGAGACATGTGCCTCTCTATCCCTAGATTGTGTGTACCTCAAATTACATTTGTTTGAATTTCTGTTAATTCTTTCCTCACAAAACAGCTTTCTTCCCTTTCATCTAGTAGGCAGCTCAAACGTTACTTTATATAACAAATACACTTCAGGAAACCTTATTTTGGGGGGAATGAAGAAATTAAATTTCAGTTTTAAATTTTACTATAATACTATGATTTAAAAATATATAGCTTGGGGATGTTATGCTTTATAGCTACTACTACTGTTTTGACCTAGGTTATTTATCTTTGACTGGATTAAGTGAAGAACCCAGGTCTCCTGATTTTTATTTCTTTATTTTTTGGAGTGCTAGGGATGGGATTTAAGGCCTTGTGCATGCTAATAAGTGAGTAAGTGCTCTACCACTGTGCTACACCCTTAACCCCTAAAACATGATTTTTTTTCCCCCCTTTGGACAACATCCCACAATAACCAAGATGGCCTTGCAGTCCTGGACTGCACACATCCTTCTGTCTTATCCTTGCCAGTAGCTGGGACTACAGGCATATGCCACTAAGACAGAGTTCAAACAAATTATCTGACCATAATACACTGTGAACTTATTTCATAGGGGAGGGGAGCTCATTCAGAAGGCAGCCTTGCCAGGCACAGTAATGCACAACTGTAATCCCAGCACTAGGAGGCTTTGAAGGAGGATCACTGTGAGTTTGAGGCCAGCCTGAGCTACACAGTGAGTTGAAGGCCACCTTGAACTACCTACCTCACAAAAAAGGTAGCCTGGCACAGCTAGGCTTGTTAAACATGGTCACATAAACAAGGTCTTTTTTCTTTTTGTCTTTTGAGACAGGGTTTAGCCATGCAGTGCAGACTGGTCTTAAGCTCGTTTAGTAGCCCAGGCTGGCCTCGAACTCACAGTGATTCTCCTGCCTCAGCCTCGAAAGTGCTGGGATTACAGGTGTGTGCTACCACACAGATATGACAGGCTGAGTTTGACAAGTTCTCCAGGCTAATTTTAAACTTCTGATCATCCTGCCTCAGTGGCTGGATGCTACTTCTTTACCCAAGTAGATCACTGCTACCACAGACTCTCTCCTAAATCACCCTTTTACTGAAACTGCATAGTTGCCCATGGTGTGTGGTGTGCCTTAATGAAAGTAATAAACCCAAGGCATCCAACTGTAGGTGTATTCTCAGTGGTCTTTGGTTGGAGGACATGGGAAAATGAAAAAATAAAATACAAAAGGCTTTTAAGACTGAACTGTGTAATTCCATCCTTCCCACATCAATATTTGTAGTCCTAGGAGGGAGTAATAAGAAGTATTTAAGCATCTCCATTTACTTAAAAAATGGCTTTTAAGTAGTCAGCATGGCTTTCAATTTCAGCTAATAGCACAAATCCAACCACACTTCTCTTTTTTTGTTTGTTACATGAAAAAAGAATGTTTTAAACTAAATATTCAGATGGGTGTGGTGGCACATGCCTATAATCCCAGTACCCATGAGGCTAAGGCAGGAGGACTGCCACAAGTTCAAGGCCAGCCTGGCCCACATAGTGAGACCTTATTTCAAAAAACAACAAAAGAATCAATCAATCAATCAAAATTTTCTGTCACTAAATCATTTTTGAGCAAAATAACCTTTCCTACAGAAAATTTTCTAGACCACAAGCATCACTATTGTTTTGTTTGACACCCCTGCTACACACATCTTTCTGCCTCAGCCTTCTGAGTAGCTGGGATTTTAGGCATGTGCCTGTGTCTTTCCCCTGTTAATGATTTTATCCCACACTAACTTAAAAAAATGAAATTAGGAAGGTATCTGATTTTCTGAATGCAAAGTTAAGAACCTTACATGGTTCACTAGAAAACTGCATTCATTTTCATAAAACGGTCATATTCACTACATAGAAATTTCAAAAAGGCATTTTAAAGTGAATGTTTCACCTCATAAACACATTTTTAAAAAAACCATCACATTTACATTCTTACTCACGCTTCATTAAGGGGTACAAAAATAAAATCCTTCTCAAAAATATCTACATGCCGGGTCCATGTTTTCACTCTCCCATGCCGTTTTTGTTGAATCCTGTTAAGAAAGAGATAAATTATAAGCTTCTGAAATGTCTTTATTGTTTCAGCTTACAGGCACTGACTTGTAAACTATAAAGACTCAGATACAAAAGCTCAAATGGCTGTACTAGATGGTTTAACAAGGTGAAAAAAAACCCAAGAGCATTTCAGATGAAACTAGGAAGGCACAGAAATGCCCATCACTGAATCTGGAGGGGAGCTAGTTAGTTGCTACTACATTCCCTAGGGATTCCAGGGTTTTTCTTGTCTGGACTTCTCCATTATTTTTTTTAATTACTGCAGAATTGGTACTAGCAGTATACTGAGAGGTGTATCAGACCATGACTTATACTAATTAAGGAGAGGAGACCAGGAAAAGTAAAAATTATCTGATGGTAGGTGAAACAGGGTAATTATGAGCACTGGTCAAAAATCAGTAATTACCAACAAGTGAAAGATACAAAGTTAGAAACTGCTAAAATAATAGAAAATACTACTTATATCATGCACAGCAACCATCAATTCAAAACATTTAATGCTACTCGTAAGAAAATGTATCAACTATTGTGTGTATTTGACCAATCACCAGCAAGTGTTACAGCTAGATTCTTTTACTGTACAGAGAGGTACTGTGTGACATGCAGCACACTATTTCCTGAACTTGTGCAAGAATAATCTTATTAAGATTAAAAGAGCTTATTAAAAGTACAGATTCAGGCTGAACATGGTGGCACATGCCTGTAATTCCAGCATTCGGGAAGGCTGAGGGAGGAAGATTGTTGTGAGTTTGAGACCAGCCTGGGCTACAAAGTGAGCTCAAAGCCAGCCTGAAATGTATAGCAAGACCCTATCTCAAAAAGACTACCAAAAAAAAAAAAAAAAAAAGTACAGATTCATAGGTTTCTGTAAGTAATTTCTAAACAAAAATCATTGTTGGAAAACACTGTTCTATCCTAAATATAATACATTCCAGGTATTCTGGAGATATTAGAATATTATGAATTATACTAATTTAGCAAAAAAGAAAAAAAAAGAAAGAACTGAATGAAGTTGCCTTATATAAATGCAGTTTTTCTTCAATTATATCCTAAAAGTAGTAAAGATTATTTTAAGGCAGTGGAACATGAATCCATCAAAACTGAAAATTAACCTGATTAGCTTGGTATGTTCCCTTCCTGGCTTTTAAAATAAACAGAAGCAAGTTAATCAAAGAGATCTGTGTTTTCTTTCAAATACTGTTGGCCCTTCCTTAGGCCACATCCATGAACTCAACTGAAGATAGAAAATACTTGGGGAGGGGGCTGGGGATTTAGCTCAGCGGCAAAAGCGCCTGCCTAGCAAGCACAAGGTCGTGAGTTCGGTTCCTGGTACCGGAGAAAAACAAAACAAAAAAAAAAAAAAAAAAAAGAAAATACTTGGGGGGAAAACACTGCCATCTGTACTGAATATGTACAGATTATTTTCTTTGTTATTACTCTTGAAGAACACAATGTAAGAACTATTTAATGGTATTTACATTGTATTCTGTGTAACTAGAGATGATTTAAGGCATGCAAAATATGTGCATAGGTTATGCCATTTTGTATCTAGGAATTGAGCATCTACAAATCTGGGTTACTTATATGTGGGTAGAGAAAATATGGAACCCATCGACCATTGCCCATGGATACTAAAGGATGACTGTTAAGTGATTGTTTTACTAAATCTTGAATGGGCTTTACATCTGTTAAATATTTTCTGGGTCTGACTTACGACAGATTAGTTGTTTCATGATTTCTCCTCTCTCTCTGATTAAGGCGTTTGTAGAAAAAAGAACTGAATATATGAATTCTGTCAGCTTCTTCTTTCTTCAGTTTTTCAAGCACCAAGTATCTATTTTAAGCAAAAATAATTCCAATATAATGGTTGTAACAGTTCACTTTATATTCGAAACAGTTCAGCAGTTATGAAATATTTGGCTACTATCAATCTCTATTCCTTACAAATGAAAGAAGTTCCCGGGCTGGGGATTTAGCTCAGTGGCAAAGTGCCTGCCTGGCAAGCGCAAGATCGTGAGTTTGATTTCTGGTACCAGAAGAAAAAACAAAACAAAACAACAGCAACAACAAAAAACAACAAATGAAAGAAGTTCTTGACAAAATTTACTTTGTATTTTTGACAATGATAATTACCACATTACCTTCAGCCCAGGACACTGCCTGAATAAACTGTTGATTTCTACAATAATACATGAAGAACAGAGTATATAATGAGCTAGCTTTAAGTCCGGGTAATACCATAAAAAACAAGAACTATATTACTTGTGGAACTCAAACTATAATGGCTACTTTGTAAGAGTGAATTTGAGTAAGTACAGCAATAATTCAAATAAAAACAATAATTGTGATTTTAAAAAAATGGACTATATAAAAATTCATGCTGGGGCTGGGGATTTAGCTCAGCGGCACAGCGCTTGCCTGACAACTGCAGGGTCATGAGTTTGATTCCTGGTACTGGAGAAAAACAAAACAAAACAAAACAAAATAAATAAATTCATGTCTTCCATATTATTTGTTTTAGAGTAATTTGTTTTATAATTGTAACAGTATAATACTGGTAGCTTTCTGAAAACATAATGAGGATAAGTAGTAAAATCTCCAGTGTATGATAAAAAGTACAGACCGTTTCACCATCAACTAGAAAAAACTAAAACAAAATGCATGACTTCAGGTATATATACATGTTCATAGACAAAACAAATATAAAAACTGAACAAAATACTGACTTATAGAAAAGACAGATTATCAAAGATTATGACAGAAATTATGTAATTATGTAAATTCTCCAAGAAGATATAAACACATATGTGCATAACAAGAGTTTCAATATATACTGAACATATTGATCTGAAAGGAGAAAGATTAGTAATTATGGTTGTAGATTTCAATAACCCTTCTCAATAAATGAAAGTTCCACCCAACTGGCCTAGGTGACATCCATGGAACACTCCTTCCAACAGCAATGCTGTTCTACATGTTCATTATGGGCTTTTTAGTACTTGGCTTGTCAAGGTAGTACAGTATGTATTTGGACTAAGATAATATGTTTAAAAATTACGGTAAGAGGGGCTGGGGATTTAGCTCAGCGGCAAAAGCGCCTGCCTGGCAAGCGCAAGGTCGTGAGTTCGGTTCCCGGTACCGGAGAAAAACCAAAAA